ACATCTGTTATTTTTGTCTTTTTAATTATAGCCATTTTGATTTATGTAAGACGATATCTCATTATGGTTTTAATTTGCATTTGTCTGATGATTAGTAATATTGAACATTTTTTCATATACCTATTGGTCATTTGTATGTCTTACCTTGCAAAATGTCTTTTCATGTCCTTTGCCCACTGTTTAATGGCATTATTTGGGGTTTTTGTTGTTATTGAGTTATCTGAGTTCCTTGTAAATTCTGGATATTAGTCCCCTGTCAGATGCACAGTTTGTAAATATTTTCTCCCTTTCTCCAGGTTGCCTGTTCACTCTTATGATTATTTCTTTTGCTGTGCAGAAGCTTTTTAGTTAAGTTCCTTTTGTCTTTTTTTATTTTTGTTGCCTCCGATTTTAAGGTCTCAGTCATGAATTCTTTGCCTATGCTCATGTCCAGAAGAGTTTTCCCTAGGTTTTCTTTCAGTATTCTTAAAGTTTCAGGTCTTACATTCAAGTCTTTAATCCATCTTGAGTTGATTTTTGTGTATGGTGAGAGATAGAAGTCCAGTTTTATTCTTCTGCATATGGCAATCCTGTTTTTTCAGCACCATTTATTGAAAAGGATGTCTTTTCCCCAGTGTATGTTCTTGTTGACTTTGTCAGTGTTCAGTTGGCTGTAAATATATGGCTTTATTTCTAGGTTCTCTATTCTGTTCAATTGATCTATGTGTCTATATTTATACCAGTACCATGCTGTGTTGGTTACTATAGCCTTGTAATATAATTTGAAGTCAGGTAATGTTATGCTTCCAGCTTTGTTCTTTTTGCTCACTATTGCTTTGGTTATTTGGGCTCTTTTTTGGTTCGATATGAATTTTAGTATTGTTTTTTTCTAATTCTGTTAAAAATGACATTGGTATTTTGATAGCAATTGCATTGAATCTTCTTTTGGCAGTATGGTCATTTTAAGGATATTAATTTTGCTGATCCATTGCATGAGGTGTGTTTCCATTTGTTTGTGCCATCTTCAGTTTCTGTCATCAGTGTTTTGTAGTTTTCATTGTAAAGATCTTTTAATTCCTTGGTTAAATATATTCCTAGGTATTTTATTTTATTTTTTAGCTATTGTAAATAGGACTGCCTTCTTGATTTGATTGTCAGCTAGATTATTATTGCTGTATAGAAATACTACTGATTGTTGTACGTTGATTTTTGTATCCTGAATTTTTAATGGATTAATTTATCAAATCTGAGTTTTTGGGTGTGGTCCTTAAGGTCCTTAAGGTCCTTATATCTAGAAGATATAAGAGCATATCAAAGGGTAGAAAATGTGAAATTTTGCAAGTCCTAATTACAACCGCAAATGCATGGGATTCTAGATTTTTTTTTTTTTAATGGGCCTTTAAAAATAAGGACAGAGCCACACATGTTCCTACTTCTCCAGCCAGCTATGGCTTCAGCAGGGCCTGTGCCACTAAATGCACAGCTGCCACAGACTCCAGAGGCCTGGAGGCTTCTGCCTGTGCTCAGACGTACACAGCGTCACCCTGGCCCTTTACTGGGGCCCCTGTTCTCTGGCGGGAGCGCTCCTTGGAAACTGTGGTTTTGACTCTGGTCAGCAGTTCTTTTTGCAGCAAAGCCTGCCTGTGTGTCAACTTGCAAGATTTGGCGTTACTCAGGCAAAAACCGGTCAAAATGGTTACTACAGGATTTGTTTCCAGAGGTTTGAAACATTCAGTGAAACTTTTTAAAACTTTGATTGCATGATGTATTTTTTTTTTAGAAAGTTATCGTTTTAGAATAATGGTTTTTTTTTTACCAAATAATAGTTCTCCTGAATG